GATAGATTTTCACTGCTTTAGCAACTATATTCATTTACTGTAATCCTGGTGAAGTAACGTGCCGCATCTCGGATTATTTATCAACCATAATGATTTGGTATGGTGACGTAAATGAAGACAGAATATATGTTCCATTTCCTATTGGTGCTGCAAAGTATTACGATGGAGATCCACGCAATATTCAAAACACCGTTTTTACTGCTTATACGAAGTCATTAGCAGTTGGTAAGTTTATTTGATAAATGATAACATTTGCTTCGTCTATACTCTTTATTCTGCCAGTTAGTCATCTTTTTCTTATTAAAATCATAAATTATAGGATTAAACGAAATACATTTTTCGTTTAGTTCATGTTTTATTTAAAATGTTATCGCAAAAAGACAATCAAATTTTGTCTAAAGTAGTAAGAATTGAATTTGCAGATAAGTTTTCAGGAAAAAAGGATGTTAGACCAGAACGTTGCGTACCACTCAATTTGACTAATTCTGCTGGTATTAACCTGTATGAATTCTTTTCTGCGAGATTTGTCGACATAGCTCAGGTACATTTTTTATGGCAAATAGTTGGCGTAATTTTTTATCACACTACCATCCTGAAATTACAAATGACACCTATAGATTCCGCCAGTTCTATTTCGAAATAAGGGACAAAATTCTAAGCCGTTTACGTTGCGGCCATTTGCTCCTACGCGTTTCGGTACGCATCATCTCCGGTCAGTTCATAACGATATGCGTCGAATTCAGCGTGCTGCAACATATTTCGCCGTGGCCAGTTCAGATGCAATGAATCGACCTGCAGTTGCTCCGTTGCTTGGTAGATTGTTATAATATATTACTGAAGAAATTTCACTGGAAAAAGGTCAATCGTGTGTGGTATGAATTCTTATGGAAAATATCTCACTCAATTAAATTTCAAATTTTAAAATCATGAAATTTTATTTCTAATTCCTTGAAGTGAAGTAATTTTTTGCTGTTCATCTATTGAATGCTTATTTGAAATTTCAGAGAATTTTTCGATGAATTTTCAGTTTGCTATGAATGCGGAAGGTAGCAATGGTAAGTGTAACGGCTGCAAAAATCAATCACTGTTTTATTACTTATTAAACAAAACTCTTACAATGGTGTATACACTAAACGATATTACCAAGTGTAGTAGTGATGTTTTCACAAACAAAAACTTATGTATTAATTAAAGACAATTACATCGGTTGTTTTTTTTTTAGATATTTAAACATACGGCATGGATATGAGAGAATTGAGAAGTGCATAAAGATTAAAAAATGAAATCAACTAATTGGAATATTTCTGGATTATACTTTAATACTTAGCTAGCTGGAAGCTCAATACTTTATGACTAAACTGTTATATTTTCTGACTGAAATCTTTATATTTTGTGTCTGGAAGCTTTACATTTTCTAATTAGACGCCTATATTTCATATCAAAAATCACATGCCTTATAATTGAAATTTTTATATTTTTGTACTGAAAACCACCATATTTGGTAGCTGGAATCCTATATTTTATAGTTTGCTGGAAGACTTATATTTTATAGTTAGAAATTCTATGCCTAACTGATAATAAACATATAATTTATAATCGAAAACTCTACATAACCTGGAGCACTATGCTTTGTAACATAAAGCTGCTTACTTTATGTGCATAAATTTTTTCAACATGGGTATCATAAAATGGCACAACAACCTGATGTCCGTTTCTAAAAACTTTTTTGAAACGATATTGGGATATTTTCAGTTAATTCATCTACTATGGTTAAACCAGTTAATGTATCTGTTATGAGTAATCAGTACAGTGTGATGATACCACTTACCCTAGCAACTTTTCCTCATCCAGTTAACACCTATAATCCACCGGTATGTTTCAGTGTTACGATTTACTTGTATTCTTTCATTCTTATTAGACTTTTGTTCTAAAAAGATAACGTAAGGATGAAAGTACGGACGTGTTTGTTATTAAACCTTATAAAAAAGTAAAAGTTTTATTTGTTTTTTTTTTTTTTAGCCTTCAATGACAGACTTCACATATTCACCAACTACAGCATTTGTCAAATCAGGTCAAACTATCGGAAATCCATCTCCAGTGACATATTTTACATCAGATCCATCCAAGCCAGATTTTGTTCCTGCTGACAACTCGATGTCGAATGTTGCAAATAATCCAAATCGCAATAACACGTCTTCCGATCAGTTTACTACCACTTTTCTTCCAGCGCCAAAAACTGACTCAGTAAACTATGCTATGCTATGAAATCATACTGTTCTTGAGAATAATACTAAATCAGTAGAAGCTATTTCGAGAATATAATAATATACATTTCTTCTAAAACCAATATTTGAAGAGAAGTGAATAGCGCATCAAAGTAGGAAATTGAATGCTTAATTTTTCTAGAAAATTCTTTCCTGCCTTTTTTCTAGCATGCTGAAAACGTCGGATTTCCGGTATGCGATGAACCCATCAGTATTGAAAATAATTGGTGCTATACAGTACCAACAAGCGATAATGCATCTGGTAATGATATGTAACAATATAAAAGTTGGATAAGAGAGTAAGAAACAGAAATGAAGCAAGAAATCCAGAATTCCTGAGATGCACCTAAAACAATGAAATGGAAGACTTTTTCTGCTGTCCACATTACATCTATAAAATTAAGCATATATTTTTTTCATTGCAGAATTTGAAATTTGGAAACCCAAACCTCGTCCAGCATTTACCGTAAACAGTGGCAATTCAACTGAATCAGTATTCAGAAGCAGTTACATTTTCGATTCGCCAATGTTTCAAGCTCCAACAGCGGAACCAGATGTTAATCAGTCGAATGCACAGCAATTATTGGAAGTTGTAAGTTTCCGTATCATAATTTCGCTTTAGCATAATTGATGACTTTACCGCTTGAAAACGAAATGAAGAGAATTATGTGAATTTAGAGGCAGATATCTATAAATAAATATTACAATTCCTTTACCTCTTCAGTCATCTTTTGCTATCTTTCCTTCTTCTAAATCAGAAATAATTCTTTCAAACTTCACCATATATCTATGCAAAATGAGATCTGAAAATAAAATCTCAATCGAATGCATAATCACTGAGTTAGCCAATCATTACAAACAGTTCAACGAGTGTGCTTTGTAGCCTTTTTTCTTTTTTCTTTCGGGGCTAATATTTGTTTATCTTAAAATATTTAGAACTGAAATGTAATAGCATTGAATTTATCTCACACTATTTTTTGTAACTATCAACATTTGTAGTCAAACGATTTGAAAGTAAACGATCTGCAATATAACCCGAACAATCTTTCGTTCTTGAATGTATCACCAGAGCTATCTCCATCAAATGTTTTCTCGCCAGAAGCATCTTCAACGCAAGAATTCTCGCAGCAAGTTCCTACGCAGAACGACGTATTCCAGCAGTCACAGGTATCGTTGACACAAGTTCAACAACAGCAGCAGCAACAGCAAATGCTACCGCAACAAGTGCTGCAATCGCAGATACTGCAACCAGAGGCACAAGTAATTCCACAGCAAGCAATACCAATGCAGCCAATACCAGTGCAACCGATACTGCCGCATCAAACATTTCATTCGGAGATGCAGGATGTGTCGTCGCAAGGGACGACGCTGCCACCGATATTTGTGCAACACGGAGTAGTGCCACAGATTCCACGTGCATCCAAGAAGTCATCGCCGTGGAAGACAAATTTTTTGCCGAATTATTACACCAAATAGAGAAATACAGAAGAAAATTGCTCCTGAAAAGATCAATTGAGTAGTTCAAAGTTTATGTTACAGTTAAAAGTGATTTTTTATATATTGATTCCATTATGAAATTATTGTGTTTATAAGCTGTTGAATTAGAATTGAGTTGTGGGATAGTAGTTAATTGTAGAAAGGATTTGAAATTAAAATTGAAATGGGTAACAATTAAATTGGAAATTTTTGTAGTGGAAAATTTTTAAGTAAAAACGAAACGATAGGATGAGTAAATATGAAGATTTTGAGCTAAACATGAAACAATTAAACATTTAGAGAGTGAGAAAAATGAAAGGTAATTGCATTAGCTATGTGGAACGTTTGTTTATTCGTTTTTCTCTGGCAGTGTTTTATGTTTATTGTTCATTTCTAACGTCTTTCATTTATTTTATTATAAAAGAAAAAGTTGTAAACAGTCTTTTTTTTTTTTTGTTTTGTTGGTATTCTTTATTAGTATGTTTATTGTTTATGAAGTATTTTGTGCCTTTTATTTATTATATCATTAAAAAATTGTGAAAAAAACACTTTTTTTTTTTTTTTTTTTTTTTTTTTTACCGGTGTCATTATTGTTTACGCAAAAAAACTGCTCGCTATACGACCAGGAGTCAATTTTTTTCGAAATCGTTTGTTCTTTTTTCTGATAAAGTTTTGTTTTTGTTTACTCGAAAGCATATTTAATTCTTACGATTATAAAAAGCGCTCTTGTCTGCGAAATAATGAAACAAATGCTACTAAATGACAAAAAAAATCGGATTTTTAGCAAATTTCAGTGGAAGTATTACATTCATCTTTAGCTGCTCTATCACAAATGTAAGCAAATCTGAACTGGGAATGTGACTATCAGCATTGATCAAAAGTGATAGGCCTATCTTTTTTTATCAAAAAGAGCATAGAAAATTTATTAACTGATTACTGAATGCAATGAATAGCAGTAAAATTAAATTCCAAGTGATGGAAGAATTAGAATGGGACAGATAAAACATATGAAGAGGAAAATGAAATGTAAATGTTAGTTTTTACTTTCCTTATTTATCATTTAATATCGACGGGAACATAAGTTGAAAGGAATGTATTAATTTACAGAAATTGTTGTTTTTACTTGAATTTATTACTTTCATTTGTGGTTAATCTATTTTATAAATAGGAAAAATAAGATATTTTCCTGGAATATATTTGGTTTTTTCCGCGTATTTTTCAGTAATTAATATACATACGTGTGTACAAGTGCACGTGTATATGCGTATACTTGCTTACGTGTGTGCGTGTATGTTTGTGTTGGGTAGTGGAACAACGCGACTAGAGAAAATGACTGCTGGAACTTTCTTATATAATGAGTTCTCGAAGGTGGTGGTCAAGGGAAAATTTGAGGAACCTGTCGATGTAGGCTTACATGCTAAATGTTCTTCCCTTTTTCAAGTCAGATAACGGACTGAATTTCATGTCTACCGTTGAGGTGCGATGATACTTAAAAAATACATCACTGACTACAAATGAGTGTTGTTTGGCTAGTCGTATGTTTAAGTCTAGAACGTGGAGATGAGTCTTGGCTAGGCTATCTTCTCTAGGCTCCTCTCCATACGGAGAAAACAATGCTGTTTTTGAAGAAAGCTGCTTAGTCATGCAGGATTTTCCTGAACAAAACTGTCATGTAGCTTCGAATGCGAGTTTCACCTAGTTTTTTCTCTCACCTTTATGAAACAGGGTATAACCTTCGGGTGTTTGTAAAGACTTTTTTAGACTAGGCTTAACGTTCGTCCTTTTGTTCGTCCATCTGACAACTTGTGGTTTTCTAGAATTAGCAAGCTTAAAGGTAGCGAAATATTCATGTTATAGACTTATTTCTTGTATCTGGTAGACTTATGGCTTTGCAAGACTAATGAGTTCCATCTGCCCGAGTCAGATTTTTCCTTTCAGGCCATATTGGAGCCGTGCAAGCTCATCTTCCACAGCGAATGTCAGCAGAGGACATATGTGTAGATGTCCGAATGATAACGTTCCAGATTGCGTTGTAGCAGTATGAGAAACTCTTTCAGATTAGCTTCAGTGCCGGTGGACGACCGAGAATAGTGAAGAATGTTGTCCGCGTACCGGAAGAATACATTGTGAAAGATGATCCACGATTCCTATACCGCAAACATTGTCAGCGGTGATATTTGCTGTGATGAAGCAATACTTCAAGCAGAATTTCGATCATTTCCGATGGTAGAAGTGACAATAGCAAAAGTAGCAATCATACGACAGCAACATATTTGATCAGAAATAAACGATGCAGTCTTCATCACTTTGACAATATCATTTATATAATTTTATTAAGCAGGGAAGAACACAGCATTATGAATTTGGAAATATCATTGTTCATTTCATAAATACTTCTCTGTTCTTTAAATGCGGAAAATTGTGAAAGTACTATGGTGAGAAAAATTGTAACATCCCGTCAAATGACAATTTCAATATCTTACTCTGTATATAAAATCTTTATAATAGCATTTGGCTCATTTTAAAATCAATTCAAATAGTCTTGTGTAATTTACTTTATATTTAATTAAATTTTGCGCATTTCAAGACAATGATATCTCACTGATAAAAGAAATTAAACCTGATTCCTTATGATCCTTCTTCTTGCTCATCTTCGTCTTCCCCAGTTTGTTCAGTTATCTCACAAGGTGTTAGATTCCCCTCTTCCAAAATAAGATTAGCAAGCGACAATCGCAATTTCAATTCTTCGGTTTTTCTGTAATATTTGGAATAATTAGTGAACGTCAACTACAGCTTTTTGATGTAAGAAAAAAAGTTCAAATGGATCTTAGCAAATAGCAATAAATGATAAGGCTACTTTAATTTTTGAACCTACGTGTCCTTGTTCGGTATCGGCGACATGTGCTTATCATATTTGTCATCTAATTTAAGCAACTTCTGGAGGGTATTTTTCAGTTTCGATTTAAGTATTCTCTTTTGCTTAAGTAGATTTTCGCGTTTCTTCTTGTGAATGATTCGTTCACGTCGCATTTTCCGTCTTTGTTCATTGAGCTTTTTCTCATGTGCGTAACACATTTCTTCCAGTCTGATTCGTTCATTTCTCGCATTGTTCAGTTCGATCATTGCATCTATATACTGAAATATCAAAGAGAAAATTATGGACAGGTTTTTTTTCTTTACAAAATGCTTCAATATTAAATGCACTTGAAAAAAAGTAACGCTTTTTTTTTTAAAAAAAGTAGTATCAACAGCTTTCAAGACAACCTTAATAAGCCTGCTTTTCCGTCTTTCTCTTCCTTCAAAACAGCAAATAATCAGGAATGGGTACCAAATCAGTATGAATTACTTTTTTGGTCATATTTTTTCCGTTTCCGTCCAGCATTAATGGGTATTTTTTTCTAATCAACAGCAATTGTATCTTCAAGTTAAATAATTCTGCCTTAAGTTTTTCGTTCTCCTCCAAAACTCCGATAGTTTCGTTGTAAACAAGGCGATGCAGAAGCGATAGTGTGTCTAAATTTTTCAGCAAATGAAGCAGTACTTAAGAACAATTATGGGTAAAATGAGAAAAGTTATCAACATTCCCACTTCACTTCAGTTGAAGGTAAAGAAAACATAATTATAAATTAACCTTCACTGAGAGTTACTGTGAGTCTTCTTGGTTCATAAATGTCGGAAACGGATTTCCATTTCTTCATTGGTTGAATTTGTGTAGCATTCTGATCGTCGCGATTGCTCCCCGTATTGTTTTCAGATGCCATTCTAAATAAATATCATTAAATTACTTCTTCATAACTTTCACAATTTGATCCCATAAGCTGGCTACTTTTTCCGGTTACAAATGCTGCCAATAATTAATGCTTAGGAAGTGAATCAAATGGAATATTATCTCTATATTGTCTAGAAATTTCAAAATGAATGTGTGTGTGTGTGTGTATGTGTGTGTGTGTGTGTGTGTGTGTGTGTGTGTGTTCAGTTTGGGCATGGCATGTACGTGGGTAAATGTATGTGTGTGTGTGTGCATATCCATGTCCATGTCCATGTCCATGCGCGTGTGTGTATATGTGTGTGTGTGTGTGGGCATATACGTGGGTAAGTGTATGTGTGTGTGTGCATGTGTTCAGTTTGGGCATGGCATGTACTTGGGTAAATGTATGTGTGTGTGTGCATATCCATGTCCATGCGCGTGTGTGTATATGTGTGTGTGTGGGCATATACGTGGGTAAGTGTATGTGTGTGTGTGCATGTGTTCAGTTTGGGCATGGCATGTACGTGGGTAAATGTATGTGTGTGTGTGTGTGTAGCATAAGCGTCCGACTATTTCTTGTAACATCTTGAAGCTCTATAACCCCTAAACACCCTGAGACCACGCGGTACGAAACGAAAAGCGCCTTGGAGAGAGACTTTGAGCGCAGCAAAAATAACTGAGATGAAAAGAACGACTGTGAGAGCCTTTTTATACAATACTCCATGAAGCTACGGAAATAGTCAGGGAGAAACTTCTGGAACATATGCAAATTTTGACTTTTTCAAGACTTCTTTCTTACCTCAGCAAATTACTTTTCTTCTTTATATGTGCCATCTATTTAATTTCATATTAATGATCAATTAAAAAAGTCTCCTTTGAGAACTTATGTGAAGAAATTAGCGAACAAACGAATCATTCTGCAAATATTAATGCTAAAATATGTGCACACACCCCGACAGGTCATTTCATCCCGGTAAATACAAGAAAATCTTTTGGGCAGGAAAAGCCACAAAGGGGGGTGGGCAAGTATTCGGGTAACAATCAAATTAGGAAACAAAACAGATTACTCAATGAAAATTTGCAGATGTTCCGTCTTCTTAGAATAGTATACAACAAGCCATTCACTTCATTATTTTCTCGGTGAGTGAGGTGGATGTCTTTTCAAATTGTCTTTCTTTTGTTTCATCTCACGTGGGTTTCGAGTTGTCCACGTAAATGGTTTGCGTGTAAATAAAAGTATTTATTGAGGAAGTGAAAAGGGGAGATGAACTGGGATTTATTGAGAATAGAGAGTTCAAAATTTGCCCGCCATCTGGTTGTTCATTAGATCTGGGTAGAAATGGTTGAAGGCTAAGAGAGCTTTTCTGTGGTTTACATCGCTTTACAGCAAATTTTCATCATTTCATGTGATTGAGTAGTCCTTTAATATCGCCGCCTAAATCCAACTTAGACTAAGTTCCACTCATTCTTTTCCGAACTTATCAGATTTGACAACACATTCCTTAGCAACTGCTTTGCTGGACAATTCTAGAGGATAACATCGTTGTTTGATTTATTATTTTCTGAAGGAAATTTCTGAAGGAGTATTAGTGGTATTTGTAACTTAAGAAAGTAACAAATTTCTTCTTGGAATTAATTTGGAAGAATTATGAAAGAAAGACGTGATGGCTTCAGTTTAAGATGGCATTCGAAAACTTCGGTTTTAACTCAATATCGTCCTTGCTTGAAACTATTCAGCAACACATTGCTGAAATTGATGCGAAAAACGAAGAGCTTGAAGAAAAGATATCGGAGTTTGAGCAACGCGCCAGATTGGATGTACCGAATAACCAAGAAACACAGGAAAACGTAAGTCATTTTTAAAAAAAATTTAAGTGCTAGAAATCAGAATTTGCATGAAAAATTGAGATTTATTCTGAAAACTTAATTTTAGATGCAGCAAAATCAGTCGGATGGTAGTAATTCGGATGAAGAATTTGAAGAATTCCTGCGTGAGTTGTACGCATTTAACGGCGAAGCGGAGGCGAACGGATTAGCACCAGCGGATGCAGCGGATGCAGTGGATGCAGCTAATGCAGCGGATGCAGCTAATGCAGTGGATGCAGCGAATGAAGTGGATGCAGCTAATGCAGTGGATGCAGCGAATGCAGTGGATGCAGCTAATGCAGTGGATGCAGCGAATGAAGTGGATGCAGCTAATGCAGTGGATGCAGCGAATGCAGTGGATGCAGCTAATGCAGTGGATGCAGCTAATGCAGTGGATGCACAAAATCATCAGTAGTTTCCCTTTATTTGTTTCATGGGTTTCCCTTTTTTGTAAATCTAAACATTTCTTTTTAAGTATACCTGAAATTGTAAGTGCTACTAAAATATTGTTTATGATAAATAATGTTATAATTTCTCTATCCAGCAGTTTTTTCCTTCGGTGAAATTTTGTGAACTCATTTCTGAATTCGGTGTTGGTCTATCCGTATTTCTGTTGCGAGCTAGCCGGTTTGCACTTACTTCATTTCCCAAACATCTTATGGCCCATCTTAGGTATTATGGGCTGTGGTTAGCTTTTAAGAATTACTGGAAGAATCACACGGAACATTTCGGAATTTCACTTAACTCATTGTGATTGCAGAGTGATTTATGTCATTCCCACTTGTATTACTATAAAGTAGCATATTTTAATCGATCGATGAAGCAAAAAATTGAAATAGTTTTGAAAAATAATCTCCTAGAATAATTATACAAAACTGTCATGCAGCTCTCAATACGAGTTTCACTTACTTTTGCCTCCTCCACCTGTCGCTACTGGATTTGTGAAACCGAGTATATCCTTTGGGTCGATCGCACACGAAACTGGCCACATCCTAACTTGTGGTTTATCTCCTGGGCCTAGCAAGCGTAATTGTGGCAGCGAAATCCTCATGTTGTGGGCTTATTCATTGCATCTTCCTTGTAGATTTGTGACTTTGCAAAACTAACGAAGATTGGGAGAAAAGAGAAGAAACTAGAAATGTAAAGAATAAAACTGAATATTATGAGAAAAGCGAATTCTTCCTACCCACTAGAATGTGGAAAAGGAGCAATAGACAAATTGATTAAATTTCATGCGCTAAAAACTTGAAAATAATAATTTGATAATGGAAATGAAAAAATACAAGGAAACCTAAACAGAATACTCAATAAGTGTGTCCAAATTTTGCATATATTCCGGAATAGTATATAAGAAGCTCCGTAATCATTCACTTCATTATTTTCTCGGTGAGTGAGGTGGTTGTCTTTCCAAATTATTTTTGTTTTGTTTCATCTCACGTGGGTTTCGAGTTGTCCACGTAAATGGTTTGCGTGTAAATAAAACTTTTTACGGGACTGAAAGATGAACTAGAATTTATTGAGAATAGAGAGTTCAAAATTTGCCCGCCATCTGGTTGTTCATTAGATCTGGGTAGAAATGGTTGAAGTCTAAGAGAGCTTTTCTGTGGTTTACATCGCTTTACAGCAAATTTTCATCATTTCATGTGATTGAATAGTCCTTTAATATCGCCGCCTAAGTCCAACTTAGACTAAGTTCCACTCATTCTTTTCCGAACTTATCAGATTTGACAACACATTCCTTAGCAACTGCTTTGCTGGACAATTCTAGAGGATAACATCGTTGTTTGATTTATTTTCTGAAGGAGTATTAGTGGTATTTGTAACTTAAGAAAGTAACAAATTTCTTCTTGGAATTAATTTGGAAGAATTATGAAAGAAAGACGTGATGGCTTCAGTTTAAGATGGCATTCGAAAACTTCGGTTTTAACTCAATATCGTCCTTGCTTGAAACTATTCAGCAACACATTGCTGAAATTGATGCGAAAAACGAAGAGCTTGAAGAAAAGATATCGGAGTTTGAGCAACGCGCCAGATTGGATGTACCGAATAACCAAGAAACACAGGAAAACGTAAGTCATTTTTAAAAAAAATTTAAATGCTAGAAATCAGAATTTGCATGAAAAATTGAGATTTATTCTGAAAACTTAATTTTAGATGCAGCAAAATCAGTCGGATGGTAGTAATTCGGATGAAGAAATTGAAGAATTCCTGCGTGAGTTGTACGCATTTAACGGCGAAGCGGAGGCGAACGGATTAGCACCAGCGGATGCAGCGGATGCAGTGGATGCAGCTAATGCAGTGGATGCAGCGAATGAAGTGGATGCAGCGAATGCAGTGGATGCAGCTAATGCAGTGGATGCAGCTAATGCAGTGGATGCAGCTAATGCAGTGGATACAGCTAATGCAGTGGATGCAGCTAATGCAGTGGATGCAGCGAATGAAGTGGATGCAGCTAATGCAGTGGATGCAGCGAATGCAGTGGATGCAGCTAATGCAGCGGATGCACAAAATCATCAGTAGTTTCCCTTTATTTGTTTCATGGGTTTCCCTTTTTTGTAAATCTAAACATTTCTTTTTAAGTATACCTGAAATTGTAAGTGCTACTAAAATATTGTTTATGATAAATAATGTTATAATTTCTCTATCCAGCAGTTTTTTCCTTCGATGAAATTTTGTGAACTCATTTCTAAATTTGGTATTAATCTCTCAGTAATTTCTGTTGCGAAGTAGCCGGTTTGGTTTCTATTTACTTTATTTCTCGAACATTTTATAGCTAATCTTAGTTATTATGGGCTGTTGCTAATCTCTTCCATTATATCACCTTTACGAATTACTGAAAGGATCGCATGGCACATTTCGAAGTTTCATTTAACTCATTGTGGTTCTCTCACTATTTTAACGTCGTAATGGGGTGTGACACTTCTCACAGCAATTTAGCGCATAATTGAAAACGAACTACTTAATGTGGTTCAGTGTTAAAAACGGGCAGTATTTCTTGACCGGTTGGTGTAATGTAAGTAGCGAAGAATGCTAAGATTTAATGGATTCATAGTTATTCAAATATTTGTAAATTAACTAAAATTGATGACACAACCAGTTCAAAGATGTGAGTTTGTTGACAAAAACTTTCATTATAATCAAAATTAGTATCGGAAATTAAACCTATCATAATGACAAAATGAGCGAAGAAATAGGAAGTGCAAGTAGTAAAATTTCATTTTAAATATATCATTAACTTTCATTATATCGATTTAGTGAGAACTTGACAACAGTAGTGCACACTGGAACTCAAACTGTCACCGAATTCGAAACGTATGGTTCACAGTCTGATGATGATATGTCCGACGATGAAATATAAACAGATATGAGATCTATGTCATTTGTGAATGTTTTTTTTATAAATACTTTAATCGATAAAGAGAAAAATTGGAATGGTTTTGAAAAATAATCTCAATGACCGATCGTGCTCTTCATTATACGAAAGTATAGTTAACGAAGAAAGTTACCCGATATTCAATAGTAACAGCAATTTAATTTGTGATCTTGTGGATTGGTACCTACAAGTTGGTCCACAATTTGTATTTCAAATTGCAAATCTCATTCCAAGAAAATGATGTCACACATTTCAAAATCTATAACGGATACTTGATTTAAATGCGAGACGATTGAAAAAGACTTTAAGATAATTCGAAATGAATACCGAAAATGATTACAACCGATTACAAAAAGCGATTAGCAAATAAAAAGAAATCAAAGCTTCAGTTTGAAAGAATAAATCTGCAAAGGTACTAAATTGGAATACCTTAGTGCAGAAAGTTTATTCAGACTTAGAGTGCAATCGTTGGTTACAAGTTGCTATTATAAAGTGTGATATTTATTTAATTAGTGGATAGACTAACATAAAATTTTGAAACACAATCAGTGAATGATAAAAAGGAAAACTTATCTTTTTCATACTACAATCAATAGCTGTTAACAAAAATTTTTAAACAGTAAATAGTTCAAACAAAACTTCAACAGAAAAAAAAATGCTATAAACTTCATTCACACTTGAAATAATTAAAAACCAAATCACTTACGCTTTTTTTATGACATCACGCTAAAGCTACACTTTAAAGAAAACGTAGAGCGTCGATTTTTTTAGTTTGTTTGGCTTTTTGTTTTTGTTTTTTTTTTTTTTTTTGCTGTCTTTATTTTTTTCATTTTATTCAAATATTTTCATAATCCAATTACGAAATTTTCTTAATTAAAATGATTTTTTTTTAGTTCAGAAAAACCGCTTTTTAAATGCTCAATTTTCTTTTAACATGTAGTTTGTTATATCCATTGTTTAGTCTTTAACTTTGTTTTAAATTTTTGTTTTGTTTTTTTTTTTTTTTGAGAATGATTGTTTAGATTAGTTATATTTTTCTTATTGGCTTATCAAATATATTTAATACGTTTTAGTTTTTTCATTAAATACCTGAAACATAGCAAGCAGAGTAACATATGAACGTTCATAATTTAACAAAATTAAAATTTTTAAAATTCAATATTAAATAAAAAAAAATTTTCTTTTTTTTGATTAACACTCAGCATACAGTGCAGAAGAATTGTCAATTCAAAATTACTGAAATAAAAAGTAAATATGCCTTAAGTAATGAATATGTTACTGTCATTTATATTACTGCTACCAATTGTAATACCTTTTGAATGCATGAATGCAGTACACAGGAACTGTCACTGTTCTGTCTGCGTGTAAAGATGTCTTTGCAGAAAGTTTGTCATATTTGCATATATCATTTGGACATGGGATTAATGTATTTAGTGTTGCAGAATACACCCATCTTCCAGGCAACTAACTTTCTATCTACTTCTATACAAAGGTAGTGTGTATATATACCTGTAGGATAGGATGAAGCTTCATTTATCGATGGCAAAGTTTCCTTACTACAGCGGATGATGGGTCATCGAGTCAGTCTGGCAGTAGAAGTGGTAGGATGAAGAAGGTTTGGACAGGATAGCATCAACAGGTGCAATTTCAACTTATTTCAGAGGTGACTGGTAACGTGAAATGAATTTGCAACATCCCGCACTGTTGATAGTGCTTATTGCTTTGACATGTTGTTGCGTGATTTGTACGACAATGGAAAGAATACAAAATCCAGCATACCTTGATGGTAATACTTGTTTATGTTATCAGCAATATTCTACTTTTCTAATTTTGATAAATTTTCTAGGAAATTGTTACTCAAAGATATGTGAAGAATCCTTTTAGAATATATCACTATTTATGTTTCAGATTTCGTTATATTAATGTTTATTATTTGTCATAATTTGCCTCGAAAAAAAACTTGGATAGGAAGTACAGGTAAAGTTTATTAGATAATGTATTATTTAGGATCATACGGTAAAGTAAGGAAAGGGTGGAGAGCGAAATATAGAGGACATTGGAAAAGATTGATTGATCAATCAGGTATGAAAGAAGGAGAAATTGACGTTGTTCGGTTGGTTATTTACAGAATCATTTTTGGCTATGATAACTAAATGATACAGTAATATAGCCAAGAAAGAAAATTTACGAATTTTTCTTCTAATGAAGAGAAAAGAAGGAGCTTTTGAAGTAGGATGAAATGAGTTGGTTCAATTTACTGAACAATTTACTTATAGAATATATTTTTACTGTCACTTTTGTCTGATCTTTACTTCTTCCACATGATAATTTAGGCTATCGACAAATCGAGCTTCGAAAATGATGACATCCAATAACACACCTTATGATATATCTGATCAGGTTAGTAAATTAGGTCTGAAATCGGATGATATGAGTAAAACTTTGAGTGTGGAGGATGTACGACAGCTATTATTTGAACCGATTCGGAGTAAGGAAACGTATGACATCGTACAACCGCATAAATTGTCGACTCCCAAACATTGGCACCGTCAAATACGACAATATGAAGAAGGACGCAAGAATATTTTGGCAGTAAGCAAACTTAGAGAGCGGTATCCGTTTGAAAAAGGGCAGAAATTTGGTCCATCGAAGTGCTTGGGACAAAAAGACGGTATATATGAGGTTAGATAGTTCACTTAATTTCATAGGTTTATTTAGGAAGAAAAAACAAAAAATCAAGCAAAACGGAAGATTCATCAGTCTATCTCTCTCTTTCGTAAAAGATTGGATCTTATACTTCCTATGATCATAAGATCAATTTTAGGCTGGACCGTGTGAACGCTGGCACTTATTATGTCGTAATGGAAAGGCGAAAAAGATTTTCTGTGCAAACGGTTTGTATTGGAATGGTGATAAAAATCAATGTGAGCCAAAAATTAATATTGTTTATTGTCAGCGTAAGTTTTTTCTCAATTTTCCTAAGCTTTTTCAGCTATACAGAATTTCTTTTCAAAGAAGAAAGTAAGCAAGTGAGCTTTCTTCAGGTATTTAGTAGCTAATTAGTTTAAATATTGGTAAGTTGATAATTTATGTAAAATGTTATATTTACAGTAAAGTTTGACTGTACTGGGATGGATGACGGTATTTACGTTGATGGTTGTTCAAATGTATTCTGGTTTTGTAACAGTGAAACGGCATTTCTTTCCAAATGTCCAAGGAATTTATACTTTAATATCAATAAGCTAAGAGTAAGTTGTTTACTATACTAATTCTAATTTGATATTCTAAATCTTGTTCTTTATAGTGTGATCTTAAAGAAATGATACCAGCATGTGGAGGGATCGATCGGGATGAAATGAAGCTTGTTAATTCTCAGGAAAAATTTTCTAGAAAGTCAAGAGAGGAATGGAAAGAGCGTAAGTTTTAAGCTTAACAGAAGTGAGTCAAACTTAGTTTCGAACTGTTTCATTTTCTCACTAAAAAGGAGCCTTAAAATCTGAAATTGACTCTTCAGAAGTAACTCACAAGTTGTTAGAATCTGTGCGAAAAGAAGGCATTTGTGAAGAACGAAAAGATGGGAAATATGCTATTGCTAAATGTTATGAGAAATTTCTTTTTTGTGTCGAAGGAAAGAGTTTGATTGTTAACTGCCACAGCGGTCAGTTGTATTCTTCTGAACATCAGCAATGTATAGATGCTAGAAATTTGCCGTTTTGTCGAGATTTTGCAGATTTGGAGACAAGCACAGCTTCAAGGTGAGCTATCAATTAGAAATTTTAAATTTAGCCATCGGCTAGAAGTTTATTTTTCACTTTTTGTTTTAGATATTCTGTTTCGTGTTCTTCACTTCCCGATGGTACCTATGAATTGGGAGATTGTGAAAGAAGCTTTTCAATCTGTCGTAATGGTTTGTCATAGTTCATTTTTCTTTTACTTAGATAAATATGATTTCTTCGTCTTCATGACTTCAAGACTCTTGTTAACTTCAATATTTACCTGGTTAATGTAATTCAGTCTTTATTGAGTTCGATGAATTACTTCTTTGCACTCAGTTAATAGCTTTGTGATATTTTACTCTGTAGTTGTTTATTCAGGAGTGAGAAGCAATGCTTCCTGTGGACGTGGTCTTGTGTATAATGCGCAAACAGGACACTGTGACTATGCATCCAACGTTAAAAAGTGTCCACAAATTAAAAAAGAACATGAACCAGAATTAGCACACACACATATAGGTACAGGTATCATGCGCTGCTGGGTAATTTAGAAAACAGGAATTGGTATTATAAATAAAGATTTTGTGGAAAATAATTCTTTGTCAATGTTATTTAGACGAAAAATTTTTCAAAAAACTTAAATTCCGGGAATGATATTCAGGAAGCATCCATAAAACGATGGTACCTTATCGGAAGCAAAATGTTTGTCAAAAGTGGGAAAATGGTATGTACGCCATCGCAAAATGTTATGGAAAATACTTATTTTGCATCGATGGAAGAGGTCTTGTTGTTGTTTGCAGCGATGGACAGTTGTTTTCTCCTGAACATCAGCAGTGCATGGATGTTGGAAAGTTACCTTCATGTGCTGGTTTTGAGAATTCGGAAACAACCGTCATTGCTGAGTAAAATTTACTTCTTTTATTGATAGGTCAACCAGAGTATCTTGGAAAACTAGGATAAATTAAAAATTCTTTGTTTGTTGTTTCAGATATTCTGATCAGTGTTCTTCGCTTTCCGATGGTGTCTATGAACTAGGTGATTGTGAACGGAATTTTTTAATTTGTTTTAATGGTTAGTGTGCTATCATTCTTCGGTTTTTAGTCTAATCTAGTGCAAACAATTTATACCGTTCTGCTACAATTAATATATTCAGGAGAGGGAAGCATTGCTTCATGTGAACCAAATTTTGTATATAATGGGCAAACCGGGCATTGTGAATACAAGTCTAAAGTTGAAAAGTGCTTGGGATACAGAAAAAACAAGCAAAGACGAGACAAATCAGCTTTGTCAGGTAAAGAACCAGGTAATCACAGATGGTTTGATCGTCCGAAAGTAAGCAGCTTTTCAAATCTGAATATGTTTTCAAAAAGAAAAAAATCCAATTTAACATGAGATAATTTGACTCAACGTTTACTTGCAGATTGTCGTTGTAAGGGACAAAAAGATGGTCTATATGCAGTAGGATGTACAAAGAAATTCTATTCGTGCTCAAATGGTATTTCAACTGGTCATAAATGTCCAACTGATTTAGTTTTCAATGTTGATAGTGGTTTTTGCGATTATCCGATGAATGTTGTTGCATGTGGTGGACAAGGACTGATGATAAATGAAGTTGATATTGATGAGTAAGCGGTTATTTCTTTAGATTTTCAGATTTTCAATAACAGAAATGACTGAATGTTATTTATTTATTTCTTCTTTGAAGAGAAAGAACTGCTTCTAACTTAATTTCTGGATGCTCAATTTTGGAAGATGGCATTTACGGTTTATCACCTTGTGGTTCTGGATATTATCGTTGCTGGCGTGGTGCAACATCCTTTGGAAGATGTGCATTTGATTTGGTGTTTAATCCTTCCTTGAATAGATGTGATTTCAGGTTAGCATATCATACAAACTGCTGTTTCTGTACACATTCATCTGTATTTCTTGAATCCTTTTTTTTTTTTCAGGGAGAATGTTGCAGGGTGTCTACAATACAACAAGACATCAGATAAGATTAAAAAACCGATCTATGGGATTACAATTAAACCTGTAGAAGGTATGTTAATCCTTCATTATACCCCAAATTACATAAAAAGAATGTGTTACACTTTTCCTATTGGCTATCTCATATTGTCAGTTGCAATTCATAGTGTTCACTATCAGAACTAATTTTTTCTAAGGTGGTACATCGAAATGTGAAAAGCTAAGCGATGGTTTTTATGTGGAAGGTTGTAATAGAATCTATTATATCTGCGCAAATGGCAAAACATTTTATATGAATTGTCCATGGAATCTCACTTTCAATTATCGCAGTGGTACTTGCGATGAGCCAAGTATTGTCGAAGCTTGCAGGTTTGTGTCCAAAAAGTTTTGCTGTATTGCTTATATCTCACTGTTATCATGAATGATTGATGTTGCAGAGATACTTCAAGTGAAAAAATGCACCCATCATTATTTGGCACAATTGCGCCACTGATGCCAAGTTGTACTACTCTTCCAAATGGCCCTTATCAATTTGGTCTTTGCTTAGCGGATTATATTTTATGTCGAGATGGTGTTATTAGTTTGGCCAGTTGTCCTGATCCAATGGTTTTTAATCCAGACAACTCACGATGTGCTTTGAGACCTGATGTTGTCGCATGCGGAATAGTTAATCACTCGACTAGAAATAAATTGGGTAAAGTTTTACAGGAACTGAGTATTTTATGAATTAAATTTATGAATGAATTAAGTTTTGAATCGAATTTCCCGGTTTTTATTAAGAATCGTTCAAGTTATATTACCTTAACAAACTAACTACTATTGGTTAACATGAAAGCTAAGCTGTTTTTAACTACAGATATCTATTGTGTTGCTCGACCAGATGGAATATTTTCATACAACTGTTCGCAAAATTTTTACATCTGCGCAAAAGGAAAGATCTATCTCTTCGCATGTCCTTATGGGATGGTTTACGACAGTAAATTTCGTCGATGTGGAAATTCCGCTGAAGTTCAGTCTTGTATTCGAACTGAGTCATTAGTATCTCTATTACCACGGGAACCAATGAATAATTCATTTGATATGATAGTGGAAGACAATGATAAATTTTGCGACGGTCGTCCTGATGCGAATTATGCAGCCGGATTATGTTCAACGATTTTTTTTTCATGTGTTGTAAGTGCTTCATTTAGCCATCAAAGCATTCATTTCAATTCAATTTAAATTTAAATTTGTTTGAATTAGCGATTTTAGCATATGAGAAAGGTGTTAATGTCATGTCCTGAAAAGCTCGTGTATGTTGAATCAACTAATCGGTGTGAAGAGCCAAAAAATGTCGCAGAATGTCGAAATAGTTCTGTAATACCTAAAAACATCTCATCGGATGAACAAGATATAGAGGAACGACTGATATCTTCCACGATTACACCTCTCTGTCTGGGGCGAAAGGATAACATTTATCCACTGGATTTTTGTTTGCAAAGTTATTTGCAATGTTACAATCAGGTTGACTTTTCTCTTTCATTTCAAAATATTTCAGGAAATTCATATTTTCCATAATTTATGGGGGTATGTATATTCTAAATATACAAGGAAATTATTAAGATTTTTTTAGAAAGGAATAATAAAACACTGTCCAGATAACATGCTATTTGATGGAAATATTGCTGCTTGTGTTCCAAAAGCGACTTGCAATCGAATAGTAACATCATCGAATGAGAAACACGAAAATGCAGGAAATGATGATAATAAAATTAAGATATTAACTGAAACAGGTAAGGATAATAGGACTTTAACATATTCTTTTAGATGATTGCTATATTACTGGTTTCAGATGATCACTATATTATTGGTTATTTCAACTTTTGTTTTTTTTATGCAATTAATTCATCAATGAAATAATTTTTTTTTTCCTTGTAGCACTGCCACGATGTTATGAAATGGCGGATGGTGACTATTCGGCAGGTTGTGTACCGGACTTCATAACATGCATTGGTGGTTCTGAAATCCATAAGAAATGTCCGAATTCAATGGTATTTTCGAATATTTTACGTGGATGCGTGTCTTACGAAAAGTGCGCATTTTTGATGTATCGAGTATTAGCTTCGTTTCATCCATCGCATAGAGTAGGCACTCATAAAGGTCAGTATTTCTGTCAATTTTACAGCATATAGTTTTGAGAATTTTCGTTAAAGAAATCAAGTTTTTAACAGAATTGGAGAAAGACGGAAGCGCTATGAACACACCATCAGTTTCTGATCCTGAATTATCGGTACCGGAAGCTAATACTTTAGGTTAGTATTCCATGTTTTTCCTATATCAAAGATTAGAAGCAAAAAAAATAAGATAGATTGTTAAATCTTGTAAGATGAATTAGCTATGCTTATGATGTACTTATCAATCTGAATCGTTGCCATAACATTTTTATGAAGCTACCGTGGTGATCAAGTTTTTACTAAACCAAACAGTGTACGTTTTTCATGCATTGTACGTCTGTCATTAATCACTACTATAAGTTTCAATTCAGATCCTAGAATATCCTGAGTGATCAAATAAGCGAAAAAATTAGGCGATTAGGGATGTCATCCTGCTTTGGAGTAAATTAATTGACGAATAAAGAAATCTAAGATGGACTAGACTCAGAGGATATTTTATATATTTGATTATTCTGTAAAGTTGATTTTTTAATGCAGTTTAGGACGTTGTAAAAATGTTCCAATACAATGCCTAATTGCATCTACTGAAATGCCAGTTAAGTTTACTTTTTGCAATTTCTCTTATGAAATTTGATCTCATTATCTAAAAATTGCTTGGTGATATTACAGGAAATTTTTAAGGAAATCTCTGATAAGTTCGATTTTGCTGCTAGCACTGTTCATATTATATGCGCTACACTGACAAAATATTTTTACTTATTTGACTTTTTGAAATTTAGTTTCTGGTGCAGATGTAAACTATTGTGAATATGCTCGAGTACAGTGCACCGATGAACCTGCTACTAATGGAGAGATGGATCAAATGCCAAGTAAGTTAGGCATTTCCGGTTTTTCTCCCATAAAATAAATTGATAACACAAATGCTGAAAGAAATATTTCCAGAAGCTCTTTGAAATCGCAAAAGAGGTATTCTTTTGTAGTTCCTAAGACCAATTGAAATATGCACCATCGATAAATAATAAATAAGGCCATGCTGAGTTGCTTTCATTACAAGAAAATATTTTGTAACTGATAATCGAAAGCAATTGTCACAGAGAATTTATTTTTGCTTTCATGTCGCAAATGTTTTTAGTCGAGAAACAACCAGAAACAGTAGTAGAGTCGCAGTTTCAAGAAGAGAATGGGGATCTCTTATGTGTGCCAGAAGTATTCGGAAGCCGAATAGGTTTGTCGTGATAAATTTAAAATTTTTTCTTCGAATGCTTATACGCAAGTGCAATTTTAGATATGAACAAATTTTACAGATTCAGTAAGATGTGATAACTTGGACGATGGCTTATATGCGTTGGATTGTTCAGATAAAGTTGCTATTTGTAGCGCTGGTTGGAAAAGAATTTATGGATGTCCACAGGGACAGTTCTTTATTCCTGCACTTGGAAAATGTGACGAAAGTTGGAAATGCATAGATACCAATCCTTGTGGAACAGGATTTATTGGTGTAGTTTATCTAGGAAAAGTTGAGTCAATTAAACCATCCTTTTCGTCTTCTTCAGTTGGTTAGTTTCCAATTTGTTATAAAGAGTGTTTGAATTGTTTATTATAAAGTTAATATTTCCATTTTATTATCTTTCAATTATCCGATCTATTTAGGTGATCTTTCGTGCGTAAATAGAGATGATGGAAATTATGGAAGACAGTGTTCTCCGATATTCGTCAGATGCCTCCACAAAATACCGATTTTGATGAGATGTCAGACGGGACGACTTTTTGATCAACGTTCTAGTCGTTGCATACCATTAGATCGTTGTCCAATGTTATCCACTTCTCTTGATATTGGCAAGGTATTCTTGATAAATTTTCACTGTTGTAATTTGAGAAGCTAAAATAATCTATACTGCAGGTTCGATGCGTTGAAAATGAACGTTTCGAAATCGGCATTTGCAATGATTACTATTATGCTTGTTCAAATGGCAAGTTCGTTCTTTATAAATGTCTACCTGGTTATACATTTGATGCTATTCATGGAGTTTGTAATTCAAAATGTAATAAACCAGGATGTAGTCCTGGCGAAATTAGTTCTCTTGGACCTTGTAAGAATACGTACTTGAAATGCAATGCAAAGCGAACTTTTGAAGTGGGATATTGCATGGAGGTAAGTGCTTTTGTGGCATTTCTAATTCTCATTGTATATACAAGTGTATGATTTAAAAAAAAAAAAAAAAAGAGTTCCGATTATTTTTCAGGATAAACTTTTCGACTCAGCATCACGCATTTGCCGATTTCGGTATGAAATTGCGGAATGCGCTGAGAATCCTATGAAACAACTCGGAATTATTTCTGCTCCTGCGCTACATGTAGGCTATAAATGCTTGTTATTTTGCTTTCCTTTTTTTTTTTATCTTCCTCTCTTTCAATTCCACATTAAAGTTATATTTCAGCGTGTGCACGATTCATTTAGACAACCACTGCAATTTAATCCATATCTAACACTAAATCGACAAAACAGAAATCCATATAGATTGAAGTTGAGGTCACCGTATGCACAATCTGCCAAAATTGCACCATATCAAAGTAATGTCTTAGGGAACTTTGCAAAACTTTTTTTTATATTTTTGTGTTTATTGTTTGCAGTTTTATATTCTTCGATTCTTAAATAATCGAGAAATATAGGAAGTTTTTAGTACAATATACTTTATTGTATAGATCCAAACATGTTATCTGGTATGTTGCGAGCTCCATCAAGCAATGTATTTATTCCGCAAATGGCCCAAGAACAGTACAGTTCACATGTGTTTAGAAATTTACCTCGTCAGATGAGAAATGTTAAGGACACTTTTCGCGTTGTTCCATTCCCACTCGGAAGCATTCCGGTAATATGAATCGTTAAATAACTGCCTTAATTTTCATTATATGAATGTGAACGCTTTTCTTTGAATCTGTGACAGAAATAGGATGAGATTTTGCAGAACATACAAAATCTAGGAATTATTGATCAGTTTCAACTGCCCAGTAATTTTCCGATGTATTCTTTTGTGGCTTCACGACTTTCACCTTCGTGAGTAAATTTTTACTTTGTTATGCAGCTACTACTAAAATATGAAGTTTTTAAGAATATAAAGTTTTCATCCCTAAAAGTGTTTTTCAGGTATAATTCACCATCAACTTTATCATCGAATCATGGAACAACCAATAGAAATGGAGCAGTAGATAGTGTAGAAGGTTGAAAATAATGATTAGGACTATGATAGTGGTGTGTTTTAAGAGCAAAATCTGTGACCAATAATTTTGTGTCAGGTAGCGGTGAAGGGGACAATGCGTCTGCGGTAACTGATGGTGGGCGCGTGAAACGAGATGCATCATTTGAGACAGAATTTATGGAATTTGGAACAGGATTAGAGAGAAAATTAGAGACCGAATCTGATATGGAATTGGAGGTGTAATAATTTTTTGTTCTGCTGTAACCTTGCGATACTTTATCTTTTGTTCGTGAATCGTGAGTAAATTTATGTTTTATATATTGTAGAATGATTATTTCGAGAGCGAACCTGATCTCTGTCCTTCTAAAACATATTCGACCAATCTTACGCTAGGTGTTTGTCGTCCGAGTTATATCTTTTGTAATGTAAAGGTAACATGCTGAAATATATTTCTGAGCTTTGAACATACTAGACTTTTTTACTTCTATGCTTTTCGCAGTTTTGGAAAATTTTCATTTCTATCTTTTCCTAATAAATTTGCAGGAAAATTCGGTTTATGTAGCGGACTGCAATGATGGGAAGTTATTTGATAGTGGATTAAAAGAATGTTTACCTGCAGCAGACTGTATATTAAGAGCACTACATGGCCAGAGCAATGATAATGAAAGTAACATTTAGATGGTTCGATGCTTATCACTGATTGTAACGAGATTAGAAAATTACCATTTAGAACTTCTATTGTGGAGATGTTTTAGCTTTAAGGGTCTAGAATTTGTATTTTGTTGTTGTTGGTATTTTTTGATTGTTCATCGCAAAAACAATACACCACATAGACATCTCATAAATAAATTTTGCAGACAAAAGAAGTTGAACATTGTGGATAAGTTTGTTTTTGCCAAAATATTTTTGGTATATTATAGAACTCCATGTGCTTTATTGCCGGATGGTACATATTCTCTTCCGGGTTGTAGTCAGTATTTTCTTTCCTGTTTATCCAACAAAGCAATATTGAGGAGTTGCGCAAATGGACTATATTATGATGGAAGCAAACATCAGTGCGATTATAGAGAACGTGTAGCAATTTGCAATAGTGAAAAAAAACCAATTAATGAACAGTCTTTGCTGGATGTAAAAGGTTCTTTATTAATTTGAAAAGTTGCGGTATTTTAATAAGCGCTTTTATCGACAGCATGAAAATAGAATTGAATTCAAAAGAAATTAGTTCAAAACCGAATGATACGTATGCTATTTCGAGTTGTAACCTGCAGTTTTTTTTACCTATGTATACTTTCATGTGATACCTTTTGTGTAATGTGTAAAAAAAAACCTCAAAGCGTAACAAAATTAAAGTTTAAATAAGGGAATTAAATAGAAGGCATATAAAATTCAAACATGCATGATATTAACCTCACGTATTCTTCAGATTATTCAAGTCATGAAAACATAGATGATATAAAAATAGCTTTAGCAAATGCCAATCATGAAGTACCTTCTGCATTACCAAACTTTACCTGCTCCATTAATAGTACCATATCCCTGGGATGTTCACCATCTTTTGTGATATGTGCTGGCGGTATTGCATACATATTCAACTGCAATGGCGGTCTCGTTTTCGATCAGGCAAAGATTATTAAATTTTCCGATTTTTTCCTTTTCTGTTTCTGTTTGCTACTAGGATATTTTACTTTAAGTTGGACTGAACGGAAATGGAAGTTAAATGAGTTTGCAGATAACGAGTTCATGTAGCAGGATAGAAGACACTTCAGAATGTGATGAACAGGGTAATAGACAAAGAATGTTTTCAGTGACTAACAGATTCAGTTCCTCTTCGTCATTAGCAGGATTTGGTAAAATTTGCTTTTAAAATGCCATTAGTTTGAAATAGGATAAAAGAGGCCCAGTCAGCAGTTAAAGAAAGGATAAAAGACTTTATATTCCTACCTCAAAGTAGGATTGATCAAGATTTGAGTTTGTTTCTTTCCCAAAAAAAAAAAAAAAAAAAAAAAACATCGTATTTGTTTTCTAAATTTCAAGATTTAGAAAATTCAATTTAAAATGGTTACAGAGGTTAATCATATTTAAATATAGTTCAAAACCTTTTGAGTGTTTAATAAAACTGTGTTTCAGATGATTTACCCCATACATTGGTAAATTTGACTAATGTTTCATATGATGTTTCTAGTTTTGATTGCATAAATGTCCGTAATGGATTGTATGCTTCTCAATGCTCACCGCTCTTTTTCGTTTGTTCTGGTTAGCTTTTTGTAATAAATAAGTCGGTTAATAAGTTATTATATTTTCGTAATTTCTATGATTTTCATGGTTTTTCCAGCTGATCATGTAACCGGATTCGTATGCCAGGATGCATTAGTTTTAAATCTTGAAACAGGATTTTGCGACCAGAAAGAATATGTTGCATCTTGTAAAGGAACTGATCTCGTTAATAGCTCTTCCACTACATTGTCCTCTATGGCTGGAAAAGTGTCCTTGGAGTCAACCTCTATCACTGCTCAACCATCATATCATTCAATTCGTAAGTGCATTCACTATACCATCTATTTTCTTCTTTTGGCTATAATAATATAATTATTGATTGATTCCTTAATTTTTAAGCACTCAAACGATGGAAATGCGAGGATGGATTCATTGGTATAATGTCAAAAGGTTGTTCAAGAAAATTTGTCCTCTGCGTCAACAGTAGTCAACATTTATTCTTTTGTCAGGAAGGCTTAGTGTATAATATCAACACTAATCGTTGTGATCATGCACAAAATGTTGCTGCTTGTGGTGGTAAAACTGGAATTCCATTTAAAAAAAGAGCATACGGTAAATTTTTCGTCTTTTTTTTTTGAAATTTTGATAAATGCTTAAACTCTGATCCATTGTTATGTTTGGAATTACGATTTTTTAGAAACATCCCATTTGGAAAAAGATTTGATTTCGACCATTCATGCTGTGGATTTGAGAACATCTAATGCTTCAAATCAAACGATACAAGCGCTTTGCCAAATCTCACGAGGTCAAAGTGCAGCATACGGGTATTGTCGGACAGATTTTATTTTTTGTCCACGAAATGGAAATGGAAGTCCTCATAAAGTAGGTATTGTCAAATGACAATTTACAACTCGGCCAATATTGGAAGTGAAAAGAAAGGGAAAAAACTGAAGTAAAGTTTCTTTTTGCTTTTTGCCGTTTTTCCATCCTCGTTTTTTACCCGTTGGTATCTTCTTCCATATTATTCTATTTATTTCTTCCTGATCGCTTTCTTCCTTCTCTTTTTGCCCATTAAGTATTATTACGTTTTAGTCATACTGCATAAGTGACTACTTGTTTGATGAAGATGTTGGACGTTGTGTACCAGCTGAAGTTTGTGGAATGGTTGGTGATGCTATTGTGGAATCAGTGTCATTAACAAAAGAAAAGTGTGATGGTGTGGAAGATGGCACTTCGAAAGGAATTGGTCTATGTTTAAGTGAATATTACGTATGCAAGAAGGTAGGCTGGTATTAAACATATAAGCTTTAATGAAGGTATTATTTGTGATAAGATTCTAATACGTTTAGGGTGTTCCAATTCGGAGACGTTGTTTTAAACATTTGGAGACATTTTCTGCAACAGCTGGTGCATGCATGGCACGTTCTCTGAATCCTGAATGCCAACAGGGATTGGTTACACTAACCGATAGTATAAAAAAATTTAACGACACCGACGATTTTTGTATTCATCGACCGAATGGCTTTTATCGGCATCCTACAGACTGTGCAAGAATCTTACAGGTAATCCAAGCTGTGGGCAAAATTTCTACATATAGGATTCTAGATGTATAAAGATAACACATTCTAGTGCTGTACCTTCTTCAGTGTTTCGGCGAAGAGATATTTGAACACTTGCCATGTGATGATGGACTTGTTTTCAACGAGATATCCGGTGGCTGTGATTATAAAAGCAATGTGCCAGAGTGTGCTATTACTTCTGAAAAATCCGAAGAAGGTAATTTGTATTCATAGTATTTTAGCTAGTATTTTTTGAAATATTTTTCACATTTCCTCTAAAGAATTCTTGGAATTTGCCTAAAATAGGTTATTTTCATAGGTAATAGTTCGTTATCAGCAGGATCAAATTGTGAAGGAAAATCCCACGGTGATCACTTGGCAGACGAAAAAGATTGCTCTGTATTTTATCGATGTGTATGGGGCAAACTGGAAAAGTTTTTTTGCCCAGAGCATACCGTTTTTAATCCCGCACTTAGCGTATGTGATTTTCCAAGTGCGGTACCGTATTGTAAAGTTACTATGTAACTTCCATTTGCGATTTCCATTTCCTAAACTGTATTACTGTAGAAAATTCATCGCAAAGGTAATTAAGTAATTCATAATACCGACGAGTACTTTCAATTGAAGTTTTTAAAATATGAAGAAACAAATTAATTGTCTTTTTGAACTTAAATGATGTATTAAGCTAACTTTGTAATAATTTGCAGTATTTTTGCTTTGATAGAACTTGTTTCATTTTAATAAATTGTTATGAAATAGATTGGTTACAGAAAGTACTTACCCTCATGGCCTCATAGCGTCAGTAAAAAAAAAAAAAAAAAACCTTTAGTTTATATTTTATTTTTTTTTACTTCAGGAACATTTTAGCAGGAAGTGACTGGAAATTTTTGTTAAATATCATTCTCGAAGCGGAAAAATTATTGCTATATAGCAGCTAAGAGACTTTGAGTCAATGATTTATTATGGTCTAAATCAGATCATCAAAATTTAATATATAGAAATGTAGAAGATACACAAAACCGTCATGTACACCTATGTATGGTAGCTGCACATAGACGTACACACTCGCACACACACACACACACAGAAGAAGACTTAATTCTTGATGTATTTAACTTGATTATATTGTCCTTGAAAACCCGCTTTTCTTACCGCTATCTTTCTTATTCCTCCTCTTGTTGATAATCTCACATACCTTTCTTGATAATAGCAAGACACTTTTAGCGATAAAGTCCATAACAATGTCCTAATCAAATTCCTATTTCTTTTATATCATTTTCTTCTTCATTCCCATTCATTTCTAATTGGTATGCCTAAATAAATACTTTGTTATAGACATTTAACGACAGCATCTCTAATATCTAATTATCTATTCTCTTCTTCCAGTTACCTCTTTCTCATCAATAATTTATTATTTACGGGATGAATTCAACTGTAGTGATTGATAAAATAATTTTAAAATTTCCAGTACAAAAAAAATCTTATGCATTTATTGTATAATGTTAGTTTTACAGTTATTGAACATGTAGCTTATCTGTTGCTGTGAATTAAGCATAAGTTTTTTTTTTTTTTTTTTTTTTATACCGAAGAAATATATCTCAAATAAAACAGGAATGAGAGACAAAATAAATAAAAATTGTTTAACTTATCTCTTGATTTCACCTGTGGTATAGTTTTGATAACTACTGATAGCAATTTTTTTCTTTTGAAATTACATGTTGATGATATTCAAAAATATTGATAGAGATGAATGGATAAAATTGTTTAATATTATATTGTAAATTGGTTCGTGTTATGCTGCTTCCTGTTTCAATTTTTCAATTTGTTTCCTTGTATATTCAGCATCTTGCATGATAAGTGTACTCATTGTAGCATCCATAATGATTTTCGGAATATTTTTTTCTTTAAAATCCACGCACATCACGTAATCCACAACAGTTTTTGCTGAATCTTCAGGACAAACACGAAAACGTCCACCGGCAAGTATTACATGCCCTCTGAAATAAATTTGTATATTGCATACTAAAGCTAAACAAACACAATCTTACTTAACAATAATTGATAGAAACAATACTCTAACAATTGAACTAAAATATATATATATATATATATTTTAGTTCAATTTTCGACACAATATACATATATAATTTAAGATTGATTGAAATCGATTTAAATGAATGAATTACATTTGAATTTAAAAAGTTAGTTTTAAGTTAATTTAAACTCTCTTCCTTTTTATCAGAATGATGTCACAAATTGAATAGAAGAAGCTAGAGAATATGACTGACCGAATTTTTTGAGGATTACACTCAGCACCCGAAAAATCAAAACTTCGTGCTGCTTCAAGTATTTCATTACCAGAGCTACGAAATGTACGACACATCAGAAACTCTCGTCCTTTGATCTTTGCAAAATCTTTCATTGCATACTGAAACATTACTATTTAGACACACAAAAAAAAAATTCAATTAATAAGAAGACGAAATTGCATGAAATTTGAAAGAAGTGACATCAATTTGTTCAAGTTTTTAAAATGTGACAATCCCGAATTTTTTTTTTTTATAAATTCCAATAGGATCGTTAATTATTTATCTCACTACTATTTTCTTTAATGTAGACGAGAATTTTCCTATCATAATGGTTTGTTCGTTCCATTTCAATTATCTAACGAAATTTCTGATCGAATTCGGTCATAATACACTCAATTGCAAATAGTTTCAAACATTTCAAATGTTTACATAAACGACATCCATATTAGATGCCAATTCAGCAATAATTTTAACACTTGAAATATTTTTATTATATTTCGCGATGTCGGCAAAATTTTCCCAATGTTCTGCGAATGATGGCTGTAGTGGAAAATCGAAGATAGTCTGTAACAAAATTTAAAAAAAAAAAAAAAAAAAAGAAAGAAGAAGGACGATAAATAATGCTAACACTTATATTTGACAATTTCATTTTACAGGCATGAAATTAAGCTGGAAATATGCTTAAAAAATATTTAACAAATCGCGAAATTTAAAAATTTTCCTAGTATAATTCTTTTATTTTTCTTTTTTATTTGAAAAAAAAAAAAAGACGAAGCAAAAGTTAATTCAAAGTGAAAATTACTCATATAGTGATGTAATAATCTAAAAAATTCAACGCTTAAAATGAGAAATGAAAAAATTAAAAGAGAAAAAATATACCCTCATAGTGAAAACTTTTCCTATTTCATAATGTTTTGAGAAGACAATATCATTTTTATTAGCACTTTTCTGTTTCCATCCTTCACGATTCTCGAAATCAGGCGTATTGACCAGATCCATCATGTCTTGTAATGCATCATTGGCATGCCGCATTCCTTCCGCATACTTTAATTGTCTTTCTTTCTTTTTTTTTTTTTAAAGTAAAATCATTTTTGGAATTTACAATTATTCCACAATCATTTAATTTTATCAAATCTTTAATACATTTGTAAATGATAATATTTTATTCAAAAATAATTGGAAGAATACTAACTTTTTCAGCATTTGATTGAGTAACATTGGGATTGGTAGCTGAAGTTATTAGTGAATCCATTTTAATTTTTCACCTATGTAGAAGAAATTTATCATTAAAATCACTCTAATAATTACTGAATAATTCTTTATACTTCGCAATAATTCATTATATAAAAAAAGCTACGATTTAATAGCATAAAAATTAGGTAAAATATAAGTCATATATGACAAACATATAAAAGATAAGAAAACATAAGTTACGTTAACGGAACTATTTAATAGTTATTCTCTCATCGTTTTCTGTAATAATGAAATGAAGACAAAACAAATTTCTAGCGTAAGGAGAACAAAAATTGATGACATGAAAAATCTGTCCTAAGTAATTTGACGGATGACATTTCGCAGAAAATATCACCGCAATATACGATTATGCTGAAATAGGAAATTTAATTATAATTAAGCAACAAAAACAGATATTTATGCCAAAAAAATTTTTGAATATTTAATCAATTTTTTTTTTTTTTATGAATTGAATTTGCTGCTTTTTTCTTGCTCTAAGTAATTACCTGCTGATCAATGAAAATGGCGAAAAGCAAAAGAATAAAATAAAATAGATTAAATTTTAAATAACAAATGCATAGTTAATACTTCGTAACCCATTCAAAACATGAGTGGTGAATTTTTAGAAGTAAAGCAGTTTAGTTTATAATTATCCATATGGGAAAATGTGGAAATATTTGGTGAGTGAAAGGAATCTTTTTATGAATTATCTTTTTTTTTTTCTCTCCCTCTCTTGTAAATTTAATAGTTATGGAGCAAATTTCCAAATTCAATGAATGGTATAAAATTATGAAATTAAAGTGCATCACTGAAATGTATTCGAGCAAATAAATTGGCGATATACAGAGAAAAGTGCCTCTTTTTTAAGTAATTTACAAAGGACTTCAGTGATAGCGTATATCTAGTAAAAAATTTTCAACACCTTTTTTTTTTTTTTCTTCTTTGTTTTCTTCCTTGAATGAATGGAAACGAGATTCACGAAAAAGATGCAAACTAATTCACGCAAAATTTGTTGGTATAACGGTAACGAATTTTCAACCAAATCAAAATGTATAAAAAGTTTATTCGTTTTTCATTCCTTTTTTTTTTTTTCTCATTATCAAAAATGAGCAAAGCGAAAGAAAGGAAAAGGAACAAATTAAAACCTGAAATTGAAAGATAAAACAGGTATATGTGAGTTACGTGAAATGATGGAACAAAAAATATATTAAAAAATGAAAAAAGAAAGAACGAATTGCTTAACTAAATACGATTTAATTCTCAAATTTAAATAAAATTGTCTAGTAACATATATATATATATATATATATATATATATTTAAAAATAAATCAATAAATAAGAAGCAACTTAATCAGATGCAATCAAGATAATTTCCGGTTCACTTATCAACTGACTTTATCAATTGACTTTCATCATACAGCATGATGAGATGATAAAATTTGAACTGATGAGAAAAATGATGCAGTACAGGTACAGTAGTTGTCAGGAATATTTAAGTGCTACGCAATGGAGTATTAATTAAAAGTGTAATGAATGATGGTAAAAAGGATGAATGAACGAGGGAGCGGAGGTCACAGAGAAGGACAAAAGAGGAATAGAAGAGTGAAAAGAAAAGTTTGGAAATGTAATTTTCACCGTTTAAAGACTTTTTAACCCAATCTTTTCATTATTACCGCAATTACAAATGTGATTCTAAAAGAACTGGAAAATGGGCAATGGTAAATAATTTTCATTGGTAAAATCTCTTTGACTAACTATGCAATTCATTTGCTTTTACATTTCTTCTCCTTCTTTTTTTTTTTTTTTCAACTGTTTATTTTATTTTATTTTTTTTCTTATATCTATTTTCATTTCAACTGTTATAAAGATTTAGTGCGAAATGATAACAATTTTGATATTTAAAAAAAAAAAAGGGACAAAACCTAAGACTGAAACTTTTTCATATTTATAATACCAACAACAAATATTTATAATATCATCAA